GAGTAGCGCGTGCTGGCCTGGAGGAAAACAAGGTTCAAAAACAAGGTAAGGATATAGGCTACTAAATTATTTTTTATTAATGTAACTAATGTGACTGCACATCCGTATTTCATATTTTCCAAATGTCTTGTACCGTTAAACATGTTATCACGTGGATGAATAATCATATGCAAATGATATGCAGATGAGGATATGCATAGTAAAACTAGGTGTTGTAAGCTCCATATATGGTTATTTCGGGGTGGAGACGCATGTGCGCACAATCTTCCGCTGACTGAGATTTATAAAGTGAATTCTGCGCAGGTTCTGGGGTACGCACGGTTTTATAAGTCGGAATATTTGTTTGCGTATGCCATTTTTGGCTTTCGGACGCACGTACACTTTTAGTAAGGATTCTATGCACAGTTTTATAAATGAGACCCCTGGTGAGTGGTTTAATAGTGAAGATGAGGAGGGAGATGACAGGTGCAGGTGTGGGCCAAGGAGGATGCTGGGAAATGTAGTGAAGGAGGTGGTGATGATGTTTTATCGTTTTATGTGACGTGCCTCTGTTCACCTGTTCTTTTACTTCTCTGACTTCCCTCTCTTCTGTTATTTGTTTATCATTTGTTGATTCATGTATTAGTTTGATTTGTGGATTTATGTTTGCAGACCTGTATGTGTGTTTGTGGGAATGTGTCTTTAATATTTTGTTCTTATGTAAATTATGTAGCTCATTCTTTATTTATGTTAATTTTCCAAGCGTAATGTTTTAGATAGAGAATTTTTTCTTATTTAGTTATGAGTTGTAAACTTTATTTTTGTTAATAAATACTTTTTGATTGGCTTTTGTTCTCATCACCTTCCTCAGTTGTCCCGTCACTGAGCCGGCCGTGACATTTCCAAATTCATTGAATATATGTTACAAATATAAATGCTCATAGATTTGGATTTTATTTCCATTATGAGGCAAACCTGTTGAAATGTTCATGTAGATCTTCAATCTGCTCATATTCTAAGACTCACTTTACTCTCGTGTTAAACATTGCAGATGTCTCTGTCAGATATCATCAAATTTGCACAAAAATGTAGTATTTCAAAATCAATAAACTGTTATTGCTCATTAGAGTATTATTATCGCTTAAACATTGTTGTTAAGTCCAGCCATATTGCACAAATCTTACGTTGACCAACATGGGCAGAGTATAATCACACTTCATGAGCAAACAGAAGCCAAAGTCAATAACTGAAGTCCACTGAACAAACACTGCTTAAATGTAGTTTCTGAATGACAGAATAAGACTTTACACAAATGATGTAATCTGTGTGTAATTATGCTTTCAGCTGAAGCTGTTTTGTCAGACTTTAATAGTATTATATACTCGAAAAATTAGAATATCGTGCAAAATTTATAATTTTGATGATTATGGCTTATGGAAACCCCAAATTCAAAATCTCAGAAAATTAGAATATTACATGAAATCAATATATATAAAAAAAAATTAAATACAAAAATGTCGGCCCTCTGAAAAGTATATTCATGCATATATAGTTATTAGGGCTGGGAAAAAATTAATCGTGATTAATCGCATCCAAAATAAAAGTTTTGTTTACATAAAATATGTGTGTGTAGTGTGTATAATTATTTTGTATATATAAATACACACACATGCATGTATATATTTAAGAAAAATGTGTTATTCATATTAAAATATGTATATTTATATATAATATAAATGATGTATAAATATATATACAGTATATACATGCAAATATTTCTTAAATATATACATGCATATGTGTGTATTTATATATACAAAATAATTATACACACTACACACACATATATTATGTAAACAAAACTTTTATTTTGGATGCGATTAATTACGATTAATTTTTTCCCAGCCCTAATAGTTATATATACTAAATATATTAGTTTCACCTTTTAATTTGAACTACTGAAATACATTAACTTTTGCACAATATTCAAATTTTTCAAGTTTCACCTGAATATACATAAATTAATAGATCATGTCATGGTGCCACACTATTGAATCCGGTTTGATACGCATCAATAGTTTTGATCAATAGTTCAGAACAAATGATCCGCAAAGGTTTGGAAAGTGCCCAGCACTAATCAGAGCCCTTTTGGTCTTTCTCATGGTGTTTAGTGAGCTGTGGGTTTTGCCATGTACAGACTCTTAAAGCTACAATATACTTCAAGCTAAATAGAAGAACAAACTGGTGTGACGTCATTTCAAATGAAATCAGGACAAAACAAAGTTATTTTTTAGTCGCTTCAGGAGAAATCAGTCACTGGAAATCAGTGTTATTACATATCCATTTTCTGAATGCTCTAAATGACAAAAATTGTATGTGAAATTTAGAAGAAATGTTATCAGTGGCTTATTAATGAAACAAAAATGTTCTATTTACACAAAAACAATCCAGTGAAACATTTACTTTTGCTGTCTCTTAATTTTTTTCTAGAGCTGTATATAAACACCGGTTTGTCTGTACTGTAAATATTAAACATACTCTTTGTTTTCCAGTTGGAGGTAATGGCTCACACCATAGTTTGATGTCTGTACTGGTATGAGTTTAATTTTTTGGTTAATGCACACAAGCATTAGATGGACGTCTTGGGCTGCTGCATCATGTCTCCCTGTTTTCTTTTTTTTCTTTCTGAACAATGCCCATTGCACTTTAAGGTGCTGTCAGGTCACAATGACTTTATATTTGAAAAATGTTCTTTGAAATTCAACAGTCTGTTCTTCGACTGCCGACTGATGACGTAAAAATGAAGCGCTTTTTTGACATATTTGTGCAGAATTTCAAATTCAGTAAAAAGTCACATCATGCATTATTTCATATTCATTAGTCATCATGTTCATTGTTTTCATGATCAATAACTTCTGGGAAATACAATGTATGGGCAAAAAGTTGGTGGACACCCAATAATTTGCAATATTTTGATTATTGAAATAATTGTGTAGACTTCATGAACTTACTATTGAATTTTTTTATTAATTTTTTATTTTTGAATTATTCACACTGTAATCACATACATTTTGTTTGTACAACATAAAATCCATCTTTGTATTTATGGAACATGCATTTTGTGAAAGAAGCTAATAGTATAAAGTACATTCACAAAATAACTTAAATCAATTATGCAGAAAAAAGCAACGTAAATACACTCTCTGAATGTCAAATATATACATTCTCTTTAGTAAAAAAAAACTCTAAAAACACCCCATCTTAATGTTGGTCACTGGCTAACACATAACACTTCACAATTCACAAAATTAAGGGAATACATAGCTGATATAAAAACATGATGACTAGAAATTTCCTACTAAATTCTGAAAAAAAAAAAAAAAAAAAAAAGATTCTAATTATTGGACAAAAAACGTCCTTTTTTGAGTGTAGTTCCCACCCTTTCAAACCCGCCCATAGGGGGTTGGACCTAATGTGCTAACAGACCTATCACAGATCAGTGGCAGTGCGTTTGATTTCACCGGCAGAAACTTGTTGAAAATATGGACGAAGGCACTGAATACGCAGACGGATGCATTATGGAGGATTGGGATTTTGAAGAAGTTACCTCCAGGCAAATGCGTTTAGCGCTGCTAGCACTGCTAGTTCCAGATGTTCCTGGCTGTTCGTCGTCATCATCTGGCAAGGTAAATATCGACGGAATTGTGGTTTTCACAAGCGCGGGTCTCTTCAATCCTAAGGGGTTGGGTTCGAAATCTTCTGGATTGAAATGTAGACTGTACACCGTCAGATGTTTTAGTGCTTCAATGGCTGTGTCCTCTCCGGACTTCAGGTTATTGATAGCCCGTAGCCACTTTTTGCACAAGTCCAAATCTTTGGGTAATCTATGAAAACTTACTCCGTGTATTTTCCTTGTGCTGGCTGAACATGCCTGTACTATGCAAGTGCACACCATTTCGAAACAAAAACGAGGAGTAATTCAATAATTAGTTTGCAAAGTAACTCTTCACTAGAAATTGTGTGAAATGATTTCCAGGCGGTAGCGTGGAGCTCAACTCTAGTCTAGATTGATGGGCGGAGTAGTGGGAGTGGCCTGCGGAGCTGAGCATTGCAATGCACTATGGGGAGTGTTGTCTACAATCCACAAGCACTAAAAAGTCATTTTCTGCCTTTTATCGGCCAAGAAGGACCCAAATTAGAAATTTATGCTAATATTCTACTACATATATGACCCACTTTCAATACATATTCATGTCTCCACCGGTAGAATTACCCTTTAACGCATTATAGTCCTTCACGTCTATTGCGATCTCAAAAATCCTGCCAGTTAATAATACTGCAAAAACACAGTCCTGAAGTGTCAACTAGTCTCTCCCTGTGAAGGCCTCCTTCCCTTTACCTCTGTACAGATAAAACGTTGTCGGGATAATTCCGGTTCACGTGGCTACGCAGACTCGACAAAAAATTCTGTGTTATAAATGTTTAAGACCAGACAAGTAGTTTGTTGAGGGTTGATTTGTGAAGAAGGACTGCACGCCTGCGCACATATATATTTAAACGCGTAGACCTATGGACTAAACACATGATGCGCATGTGCACGCCGTCTGCGTTTTTGAGGTTTGAGCAGAGATAACGGATAATCGTTTGCACCTTCAAAGCTATTTCAGGGACTGCGTTCTCGAGACACAGGCACTGTTGTTGTGCGGATGGGTGGTCGGAGCGTGTTAAGGGTTTTCTGTTAGAACGGTTTCGTGTTAGCGGCCCCTAAGATAATAATTAATGATCATCGCAACGGAAGTGGATCAATCAATACTAACTTTAGCTGGACAATAACTTTATCCTAATGCTGTTGTAAACCCTAAACAATCTGTTACAGTAATTTCTATTATCACTGTAAAGCTGCTTTGAAACAGTCCATACTGTTACTGTAAAAGCACTTTATAAATGAAGGTGACTTGACTTGTCTTCTGTCAGCTGGATCGGGTAACAGCTTTTGTCTCAGTCCTTCATATTGTTTTGGTTTGTCAGGTTGTAACTTTTATCCTAGTAAATTACTATTTTGTCTTTTGTTTTCTCAAGTTTATCAACGATGTTCTGTAGCTGATGAATTAATTTCCTCATTTCAACCATGAGTTTCCCAGCCTTTGATGTCATCTCACTTTCGTCTATGTGTCCAGGTATGGCTGTTTCTGCAAGTCTGTTCATGTCATTGAGCACACTGGTATTTTTAAAAACTGAGAACATGTCAAGCACAAGGCCAAACCTGCCATAAACTGCTGTTACTGATGCAATCAAATGTGTAGTTTCAGAAATCTGCGCAGTCAATTCAGCAATGTCTTCTATCCGTATGGCATCTTGCTCGTTCAGTATTTTCTCAGTACGCTTCTGAATGTCTGTCATCTTTTCAGCCATAGGGGTGATTTTATCCTGAAATTCCTCCAGTTCAGCTTCAGCGTCTTGTGTTAATTGTGTCATCTGCCGCTTTTTCTCAGAGCTGCATGTTATGCTTGATATTCCACTGCCTATGATATTCAAAGCACCTATGACAGTAACAGCAGTAGAAAGAAGAGAAGTCCCTAGAGTAAACAGGGCCAGTAATCCCACAATCATTGCAGCAACTCCAGCTATTCCAAACCGTCCTGCGTCTCTGGATCCTTCAGTTGCACGTCTGTAACCCTTCTCAAATGTTTCGATAACACTATGCAGTCTCTCTGTGCACTGCTGGAGTTGAGGATAATCTCTCTCATAGAGGTCGATAAACTCATCTTTGAGACGAATAACTCCAGCTCTAGAGAAAAGAAATATCAAGAGTTTATAATTATAATACAATTTGGAATACAAATGTTTTAATTAATAGTAACCACATTAGTTGATATGTAGTAGGCTTTGTTGATATTATGTCTTTATTCTACACATATTACTTAATTTCAGTATATGTTTTAATATTGCATTTTTAACACCCAATTATGGCAATCTTCTGAATGAATGCATAACAATGTTCTCTCACATTATTTCGGGAGGTTCATCCAAGCTTTTGCGCCGGTGGTGACGAGTGGACGATGCCATTGCTCCTGCAATTATAAACACAAGTAAATACATTATCTGTTTGCGTCAGATTATCCCAAAATGTAACTATATAAAAATACATAAAAGAAAGGTTTTTTTTTTTAATAACAATATGCTTTTTACACAGTTATGTTCAAGCGGAATCACATTATGAAAACATTGATATTGATGCTGCTATTGTTTCAGGTGAGTGCTGCTGTTGTCTATCAGTGTAATTTCCACATATGTAAACAAAATATATATAGTTGCCTATATAAATTATATTAATTTGTCAGTTTCATTGTAATATATTCTTAGGATTCTGGATTCTTTATTTTATACCAAATGGATTTTTGAAAGTTAAAATTAGAAATATAATATATTCAGTGATGTCATAATGGTAATTTTGTTATTGAATTATCATGTATTCATTTTTACCAGTTACACGATTGTCAAGTTGCTTAAATTTTTGCCCAGTGAAATTCATCACATAGCGTAAAGCCCCCTTGTTTTTCCTTTCTTCTCCAGCTTTCCTCAGATCCTCCAGGTTCTTCATCCATTCATCTTTTCCCTCCTCCTTCAGTCTGGGAATCAGGAAATCCAGATGTAGAAGAGTGAAAGCGCTGTCGGCTTTCAGTGCGATCTTACACAGACTCATGATGGCCGTATAAGCTTCATGCAGCAGTCTGGATGTTTCATTTTGAATCTTCTCGAGATCGCTCTTCAGTTTATCTTCTGTTTTTCTTTTATTCTCAGACTCTTTCATGTTTCTTTTATGTTCCTTTGTAATATTTTCAAATATTCTTTTATCAAATCTGGTTTTAGGCTTTTTACCAGTGCGTTCATACTCCTTTTTAAGCTCAATAAATGTCATAGTGACTGTCTTTGTTTCTATCACATATTTTTTATTTTCTCTGACATGTTTGCTGTAATGACACTTTCCAGTACACACAGTGCAGTGGTTGTTTTTCATGACTGCACACCATGAGGGATCTTTCGGCACCCAGCACTCCCACTCATGACAGTTTTCCTCACAGACGGAGCAACAGGTTGCGTAGCTGTTCCACAACCATTCATTTACAAGGGGGACTTTTTCTTTGACAGCTGTTGTGACTGTAAACTGAAATTTTTCGCATTGCTCAATCTTGTCTCTGTTCTCTTTGACAGCTTCCTGAATCTCAGTCAGTTCTTTCATTGTTGACTCCTTCTCAGAGATTCGCTGCGTCAGATTAGAGACACAGGCCTCGAGTCGTCTTCGCTCTTTCAGAACATCTAATGTCATCTCAACACTTTTTCTGTTCTTTTCTTCCAGGAGTTTGAGGAAGTCATTCATGCTTTGCTCTGCCATTTCCCATGATGATCTGAGTGTTTCCTCATATTGTTTGTCTCTCTTTTCTTTCTGCTGGTTATTGAATAAGAAGTGAACAGTTCGTTTTTTCACTTCTCTTCTGCAGGGAATCTGTGCTTTTTTAATGAGTTTGAGAGCATCTGTTGAACGTCGCCCATCTGACTGTGTGAGCAGAAACACTATGTTCTCCTCTATATCTCTACCAAACAGAGACAGAACTGAGTGAAATATGTAAAGCTCTTTTCCAGAGATTCGATTCTGAGACGCCTTCATCACAAAACACACTGCATCAATGTAATGAATCCCATCCTCATCAGAAAATAATCTGGTCAGATACTCAGCAATCTCTCTGTCTTTCTCGAATCCTTCAGTGTGTCCGAATCCTGGAGTGTCAATGATGGTCAGAGATGTTGGGTTTTCTTCAACAAACGCCTCATAAACAGTGATCTCAGATGTCTGGGATTGTGTTTCATCTATATCTTCTTCATCTTCTGTGATTTGATAAAACTCTTGATCCTCAAACTTCACTCCCAGTAAGTAGTTGATCATGGTGTTGATGATGGTGGTTTTCCCAGCGCCGGTTTCTCCCACCATCAGAATGAGTTTATTCTGTTTGTTTCTGTCTCTTTGGCCATATGTCCATCGTCTGACCTTTCTATTAGTCCCATGAATATATTTTCTTTCAGTTTTTAGTTGGTAAAGCGCTGGTGGACCTGGATTCATTAGTGTGGCATCATGATGTGATCTGCAATAGAGAGAATTAACATGACATTAACATGTGATGATCTCAATCTGTTATTTAATAGTCTACATTGCCTGTAAAGGGACCGATGATCTGCAGTGACAGGATTGTGACAGTTTATTACTGGCAGTGGTGATTTAGTCATGAACAAATACATTTGTTTGAATTATTATTTTAAGCAAATATATAATTCTTGTTTATTTCTCTGCCATGAGGCGGTTGAGTTGCCCTTCAAAGAGGAACTTTGATGCTGAGCTATGGCATAAACTCTATGGGAACATGCACTTCTGCATGAACCAGTGTCTGAAGCATGTGTCTAAACACACCTATTAAATTAGCCGAACACATGGACGTGGTGATTTAGTGTGGCACATTACAGAGACCATAAATAGATGCCTGAAATGCATGTCATCAGCTTCTTTGTCTCCAGAACCCACATGTTTGTTGAGCGTGTGTGTTGTGTGTGTGTAATCATTAGAAAGGATCAGTCTGTGAAAATGTCAGGAAATAAGAATGTGTGAATCTGTGCCCCCGCTTCATTACGGTGGACCATTAGCACAAATATGTAATGTGTATGGAAGAGGAGCATGCAAGGTTTGGCTGATTGTGCTCTTTGCCCAGTCAGGCTAGTATCAAGCATCTGAGACTCAGGTTAATCCTCAAGAAATATTGTGTTTTCTTCCAAACAGAGAACCACTTTTCTAGGCGTGCTTGACCAAGATGCAGGCACATCTGTCTAGCACAGGCAGATTCAATGCTAACCTCTGTGAAACACATCGAGCTAGGCCAGGAGCTTTTAGGTTTCATGGCAGCAGCGGCCAACGTTATACCATTGAACCTATTGCACATGAGACTGTTTCAGTTCTAGCTCAAGAGCAGGGGTTTTCATCCTCTGAATCGTCCTTCCAGGGTCATAAGAGTCACGTATCATGCGATACATGTACTTCAGCTCTGGAAGAGGCCAGGTTTCCTCAACAGGGGCTTGGTACAAGAAGCATGTTGCGGTCACAAGTCTCTCACAGTGAACGCATCTCTAATGGGTGCTGTGCAGATCTCGATGGCTGACTTGTTTGTGATTCCAAGGTGGGGATGAGGGCAGTGTTTCTAGATCTCTCTGAAACACTTCATCTCACAGCTGAGGTGCTATCATGTGTTGGTCCACGCAGACAACACTACGGTATTCTCTACGGTGATTGATGGTGATCATCAATCATCAGGGTGGACTATGTTCGCGCCTCTTTTTCAGGCAAGTACAGTCGATCCATATTCTGGAGTTCTGGTTAGAGTTCGCCAGGACCGAGTCCACCTCATTCTGGTGGCTTCAGTCTGGTCAGCCCGAGATGTATTGTCTCTCCTGGATGGCCTCCCCTGGGAGATCCTAATCCAGAGAAATCTTCTGAATTGGCAACTTTTTATATTGTTGTCTGATGACATACATTTTTGTCATTCCTACCTCTTTGACCGCCCTGTTGGTCTCGTGTTGGAGTTCCTTCAAGAGTGTCTCTCAGCAGGGCTGGCTCTTGCTACCTTAAAGGTTAATGTGGCCGCTATTTCTACTACCAACAAACCCTTAGCCAGAGCTTCTGTTGGGAGGCACAACCTGGTGTCTCAGTTCTTGCGTGGTGGCAGACGGTTGAGGCCTATCTGCCAGTTGTGAGTTCCCTCATGTGACCTATCATTGGTCTTAGAAGCTTTAACAGAAGCCCTATGTGAGCCCTCAGTCTCAGAAAAAAATGCTGACTCTCAAAGTGGCTTTATAAATCTTCAGGCCCTGTGAGTAGCCTCCTCCTGCTTAGACTTTGCTCCAGCTGATGTCAGAGTTATTTTGCACCCTTACATGATGTAGGCCTATGTATGTATAGTGGAAGGTTTGTCTTCTCTGCACACATTTATCAGGTTCTACAGTTTAGACGTGTATTGGTTTGTCCCAAAGCCCAGTCTCTGCTCAACAATTGCTTACAATTGCCTGTGTTTTTACATAGCCTTGTTGGGCAAGCTTCAGACACCGGCTCACACTGAAGCGTTCCCACAGCGTCAACACCGTGACGCAGCATCTCGTTCCCTTCTCTTGCCATCAAAGACTGACGAGTCAACACCAATATAGTGAAAAATACCAATTGTATTTAAGTGAGCAAATGAATAAGAACAAATTCTTACGTCATAGAGAGAGGTTCATCCATGCTGTTTCGCCGGTGGGGGTGCAGAAATGATGACATTGTTGCTGTGATTAAGAAAACACAAGTGAATATATTATATGTTTGTATACCCGTTAATCACATAAAACAACTATTAGGAAAATATAAAAAAATGAGTTGTGTGATCAATTAACAATATTTATATGTAATTTCACTCTTTTTTGTCAATGGTTTTGTCAATTTATGCTGGAATGAGACTGTTTATTACAGCCCTGGTATTAGAGATTAGTTTCAGTCTTGTCTGCCAGGTCTACAACGACATCCAAACTGAGAAACTCTTTAGTTAAGTAATTCGTATGCCAGTATTTTTATTCTGAATTGCTCTTTTGTGTGCTGAGCAATTTGTATTATTTAAACAGCCAAAGTGTTCAGTTCGTCTGGTTAGCATGATGAGCCCCTGCTGTGAAAACCTCAACACCATTCTGTGTCATAACTACGGCTGCCCTCGACTAGAGATTTTTATAGTCGACTAGTAGGCGTTCAATTAAGTGATTAGTCGACTAATCGTGCATTTATATTAAATGCCTTTATATAATACATAGCATAATCCGCCTTTAAGCGCACGCATAAAGCTTGCCACAGCGCACCGACAAACGTAATAATTATGAATGTGTCATCATGAGAAAAACATTATTAACATTTTAATAATGTATAGATAATGTTTTCGGCAACTATGACCTTACCAGGATAGTGTGTAGTAAATGACCTGAAGTCAGCAGTGAAGTGTCATTCTGGCGCAGATTTGGCATCAGTCTTCTTTTGCTGGTGGGGAAAAAAACGTTTCAGATGTTTATTTTAAATGCAAAAAAAAAAAAAAAAACATACTAAAGTACAAATGCATACTATTTGGAGATCGGTTTTAAATTTCTGTTCATATTATCCCCATCTAGATAAATGGACAATTTTCCTTAAATTTAAATCAGGACCCCAGTATAAAACACACTGTCAACTCTTTCCGAATATTTTCTTAATTTTTATTAAAAATAAATGCCTTTCCGATCTGATATGTGATGGGAAAAGGGAGAAGAGCAAGCTCGGCAAAAGACAGATTTGAACTTGGATCACTTTGCATCAAATCTTTCTGTCATGTGTTTTCACAGTCCAGCTTCTTCTGTGATATTGTCTGGCCAAACCAGACATCTGTGGGTGGAGACTTGTCATAACGCTTGGCGTATGAGTTAATGTAAAGAGCCTCTGCCAACCAGGCTGAGTGTAAATAGACACTCCGATAAAAGTAAATATTAGAGGTAGTAGTTCAAACTGCATGCGATGTGTTCATAGACTGTTTTTTTTTTTTAAACTCTGTTTGTCTGTTCCCTGTACTTGTGATTAAATCATATTGTGTAGCTTTTTTTGCAGAAAAAAATAAGACTAAGACAATATAAAAATTTAAAATAGCAATACATTTAATCAGTTTGTGCATTCTCTGGTACCTATAAAGTGGATAAAGGTCACATTCTTCCCCTTCACATCGTAAATGTTGACCATGCCCCCTTTTTTACAGTCTATGGTCACTTTACTCGCAACTTATTGCATAGCAGCACACACAAGCAAACACACACATTCTCACCATTAACACTAGACCAACCTTGCAGTCCTGAAGCTCTTGTGTGTTTGGCGTCCTAATAAACTTCCATGATGAAACCGGAGAAGCTCGATACACCGGCTCGAACTCCACAGGTCGAAACAGAGAAACTCTATGCTTTACAGTTTACAGTGACATGATCAAGACTAAAATATATGAATATAGCTGCGAGCAGCGATTACGGGCCCAAGCCGGTGGCACCGCAACCCCGGTGCCTTTAGTTACCTAAAGGCACCGGAGTGGCGGTGCCGCCGGCTTTGGCCCTTCATCGCTGCTCGCAGCTATATTCATATATATATATATATATATATATATATATATATATAAACAAGCCGGTGGCACCGCCACCCCGGTGCCTTTATATATATATATATATGTCTACATTGTTCAATCACGCCTCACACACACACACACACTTTTGCAGAGCCCACACCAATGCAAGCTCTATAGCACACATCTTCTCAAAGGTCAAAGCGGAGTTACGATATTGCCCGTCATGCACAGTAACCCTAAAGGCACCGGGGTGGCGGTGCCACCGGCTTGTTTATATATATATATCGTATTCTTCTAACTTGTAAAAAACTATTAACTTTTGTTAATATTCAACCATTTCACAACTAACTTTTTTCCATAGATCAAACACAACATAATTATATGGTGGACTGAAACAAAAATTATTAATTAAATAAAATTATTGTTTTCCTCTGAAATAGCAAAAGCATCACACACTAGCTGTACCTGCTCTAAATAAAAAATAGTAATTCAATAAAAATACAAAATCGAACTAAATAAAATAAATTATTACAAAAACAAAATCAAACCAAAGAAAATATATCTTCGAAAAAAAAAGCGAGTGTCATGAGGAAAGGCGCCTCAGGAATCGTCAGGATTAACTCCATGTGTAAGGAATTTTGATTGATTTTATTTGTCACTTGAAAATTATTGTTAAATGTGTGCCTGCATAACTTTAATAAGATTTATTTTCTTTGATTTGATTTTGTTTTATATAATTTATTTATTTCGATTTTGTATTTTTATTTAAATACTATTATTTATTTAGAGCAGGTACAGCTAAGTGTGCGATGCTTTTGCTATTTCAGAGGGAAAAAAACACATTTTATTTCAAAAAGGCTTTTCAATTAAATAAAATGTTCAAGCTTTGTTTTCGTTTTATTATTTTGTTTGTTTTAAGCTTTGTTTAATTTATATTGTTAATCATCTGACACAAAACAAATGCATAAAGTATCATTTTAACTTTTAAAAAACTATTAACATTTGTTAATAGTACATTGCCTGTCTTTTGTTAATAGGACAAAACATAGTTATTATATTTTATAATATTTTATAAATATATAAAATAAACATTTGTAATGAAATCGTTCAAAAAAATGATATTAGCATTGTTTTAAACTTTGAAATAGAAGTAGCGCAATGCCTGGCCACTCCCGCGCCGCCTCCTTTTCACAATCCGAGGGAACCGTCTCCGGAATATTAACCTCACTCCTAGAAGTCCAATTCTCATTATTCATGCCTCTTACCTGGGATTGATTGCACACACACACACACACACACACACACACGCATGCACGCACGCACTCACACGCACACACACACACACACACACGTGTCAAGTCACTTACATTTTAGATGCAATATTGACTGTTCTTCTGTTTCAGCAGCGAAAATAGTTAAACAAAGATCACAGCAGAACCATTGCATCTCACAGCAACGTGTTTTCTCATTACTGAATGATTCAGCATTTTGAACAAATTGGTTGACTCAAAGATTCAATGACCAATCCATAAACATCTGTCTCATTCATGAATGACTCAGTCGTTCAAACGAATCGTTTGAACGAATGAATCAATGACCCGCTCATTAAGACGGTCGCCTGGCGACACCTAGTGACGGTTTAGTGTTATTTGATTATACACTCAAAATATTCCACAACAAATCCTTTAAATTTAATGATATTCAGAACAGAACACGAATAAAAAAATAACTATAATAAAGCCAAAACGAAATAATTTAAAACAAAAGTAAAAGTAAGTGGTGTTAGGCTCACGTAAATCTCTCTTTAGAATCTAAATGTTGCAACATTTGCGATGTATTTGGATGCTAAACTATTCTTTATTACAGGCTTTGTACTTCACTCACGTTCCAATATCGACGGAAAAAATCATCCTCTTCACTTGTGCAAAAATGTGCTTGGAAAAATCACAGTGGAGCGGTGCTTACTGTGAATGATACAAATTGTACTACTGACTATTTCAACATAGCAGTGTAATTTGTATATGTTAGGTTGAATGTTTTATTATTGTGTGTGTGTGTGTGTGTGTGTGTGTGTGTGTTTGTGTGTGTGTGTGTGTGTGTGTGTGTGTGTCAGTGTGTGTGTGGGGGTCTGGGTGGCTCAGCGCGATTGAACAGTGAAACATACTCCGTCATTTTCTTCATACAGGACATCATTCAAACGTCAAAGTGTTTACTTATATTTGTGTACACTCGCAATAAAACACAACATTGTGTTTTTGTTAAATAAATTAAAGTAATACGTCCCCCGAAATGGCGCTAATTTTAAAATGAAACTAAAATGCTCACGGCTGCACGGGCATTCATAACTCTGCGCGCCCACGGTGAGGGACGAGCAGAACAGAGCGAACGTTGTTTAGTTCATTCCTACTTCCATAGGAATTAATTGAAAAAGCTCACTCTACTCTGCACCATTATTAATGAATTGTGCAGACGTCCTTATTTTACTTTCGCTTTTTACCTGATTTTGAACACAAGAGGGCAGTATAACACTATGTATGATTTGGAAAAAAATTTTTTTTGACTAAACAACCATTCTGGCTGTTTTTAAACTTAAACATTATTCTCTAATTGCTCTCACCATGCCCGTTTCTGAAACTCTGCACATGTCTACTGTCTAATAAATGTGATGTGTCTGTCGGGTTTCATGCAATTTCAAGTATGTTAAGAGTCTCAAAAGCATCAACAAAGAATAATAAAGTTTGATGCGTTGCCACGGCAACAGTATCTAAGATATCAATAATCCTTTCTCAGGTCTACATCTGCCGTGTGTCTACATTATACACATAAAGTTTGAAGCAAATTGGGTAAAAATAAGAGGGTGATTTCAAAGCCTTTAGGAAGTGACACACTTCCTGCTGCCAGTTGGTGGCGCTATAACTTTGACTCACAATAGTCACATCCATGTGATCGGACTCTTACAGCGAACACACTGCTGAAGTTTCATCAAGATCAGTTAATGTATGCAGAAGTTATAACACACTTCCTGTTTCCTTTATTCGCCATAAATTCGTTTCCTCGCCACGGCCAAACCGTTCGAGATATCAAAAATCCCCTGGCAACTTTTCATCCTCAATGTCTTGACTTCATGCTGACCGAGTTTCGTGGCGATTGGTTGAATTCTCTAGGAGGAGTATATCGAATTCCAGGGGCATACGCTTCCAAACAAACCATAATAGCCGACTTCCTGTTGGGCTGGGGTAAAAAGTAAAAGTACAAAGGATATATGAATCGATGAGATCTATATGTGTACCGAGTTTCATATTATTACATTCAAGCGTGTTTGATTTATGGACCAAGTTTTCGGACCCTGTTCCAGGGGGCGCTGTCGAGCCCCCCTGCCACGCCCGGGTACCAGCTTCAGCCCGGCCCTGATGGCCGCGGGTTCTGACCCGTGTGCAAAGTTTCAAGAGTTTTTGAGCATGTTAAGGGCCCCAAAAGTGCGCTGAGAGTCTCAAAAGTATCCAAAAAGAATATTAAAGTTTGATGCGTTGTCACGGCAACAGCATCTAAGATATCAACAATCCTTTCACAGGTCTACATCTGGCGTGTGTCTACATTATACACATCAAGTTTGAAGCAAATCGGGTAAAGCCTGTTTGATTAATGGACCAAGTTTTCGGACCCCGTTCCAGGGGGCGCTGTCGAGCCCCCCTGCCACGCCCGGGTACCAGCTTCAGCCCGGCCCTGATGGCCGCGGTTTCTGACCCGTGTGCAAAGTTTCAAGAGTTTTTGAGCATGTTAAGGGCCCCAAAAGTGCGCTAAGAATCTCAAAAGTATCCAAAAAGAATATTAAAGTTTGATGCGTTGTCACGGCAACAGCATCTAAGATATCAACAATCCTTTCACAGGTCTACATCTGGCTTGTGTCTACATTATACACATCAAGTTTGAAGCAAATAGGGTAAAGCGTGTTGGATATATGGACCAAATTGTCTGACCCGTTCAAGGGGGCGCTGTCGAGCCCCCCTGCCACGCCCGGGTACCAGCTTCAGCCTGGCCCTGATGGCCGCGGGTTTTGTCCCGTGTGCAAAGTTTCAAGAGTTTTCGAGCACGTTAAGAACCCCAAAAGTGCCCGAAAGCATAAAAAAGCATGAAAAAGCTTAAAAAAAGGAATATTAATGTTTGATGCATTGCCATGGCAACAGTATCTAAGATATCAATAATCCTTTCACAGGTCTACATCTGGCGTGTGTCTACATTATGCACATGAAGTTTGAAGCAAATCGGGTAAAAATAAGAGGGTGATTTAAAAGCATTTTGAAAGTGACACACTTCCTGCTGCCAGTTGGTGGCGCTATAACTTTGACTCACAATAGTCACATCCATGTGATCGGGCTCTTACAACGAACACACTGCTGAAGTTTCATCAAGATTAGTTAATGTATGCAGTAGTTATAACACACTTCCTGTTTCACGTTTCTCGCCATAATTTCGTTTACTCGCCACGGCCAAACCGTTCGAGATATCAAAAATCCCCTGGCAATTTTTCATCCTCAGTGTCTTGACTTCATGCTGACCGAGTTTCGTGCCGTGTGTTTGAATTCTCTAGGAGGAGTATTTCACATTCCATTGCATGTGTTTTCCAAACAACCCTTAATAGCCGACTTCCTGTTGGGCTGGGGTAAAAAGTAAGAGCATGAAGTATATATGAACCGATGAGATCTATATGTGTACTGAGTTTCATATTATTACATGCAAGCGTGTTTGATTTATGGACCAAGTGTTCAAACCACGTTCCAGGGGGCGCTGTCGAGCCCCCCTGCCACGCCCGGGTACCAGCTTCAGCCCGGCCCTGATGGCCGCGGGTTCTGAGATGTGTGCAAAGTTTCAAGAGTTTTC